AGATGTCTCGGCCACACCCCAGACTGGCCACGGCCGAGATGTCTCGGCCACACCCCAGACTGGCCACGGCCGAGATGTCTCGGCCACACCCCAGATTGGCCAGGGCCGAGATGTCTTGGCCACAGCAGAGATTCGCAGGCACTACCCTTCACAGGCAAAGTTAACGCGAAGTCTCAAGAGTAGCCTACTCCGAAAAGTGGGGGCCTCGGGGCATGGAGGCCGAAAAAAGAAAAAAGAAAATAAAAAAGTAAAGAAACGAGGAACTTCCAATCCACCTAGGTCGGGATTGTTTCTTGTTGTGAGGTCCCTGTAGCGCCCTGCCAGCAAGGGAGGGCGGATTCCACTCTTCATTGAGTTCCAGACAAGTACTGTAGCATCCTGTATCGGACTGCAATCCCAGCATAATGGATGTTTTTTTTTTTTTTTTTTTATCTGCTGTTTGTGGATAGACGAGGGCCCTGACTGAACTGCTACGGAAAGGCAGCCCGAGTTTCAACTGCAATTGAAACTCGGGCCCTGACTAAACTGCTAAAACGCAGTTTCAAATGCAATTACAAACTGCTTTCGTGACTGCGCCGAAGTTACCCCTATACTTTAAAAAAAAAAAAAAAAAAAAAATCCCCACCAGTATTAGTGATGCTGATACGAGCAGACACCACTAGCACCTGGGAAGAGGCTCCATCTATTGGTGGGGAGCTGGGATCAAGGGGATTATTAACTGAGCAGGATGTTGGGAAGGGGGGAACCTCTTCACCCTGAACCTGGCGTCAGATACCTACAGCTACCCACTAGTTCCCCCCTCCCTCCACCAACCTCAGACCCAACCCAGACAATTCCTTTTTTTGCTAAAAAGATATGAACTTGCAATTGCAATAACCAAGACCACCTAGACTCCTTTTAAGGAATCATCTGCGAAATACTACCACCCAGTTCATCCCCCCCTTAGCAGCCCCTTCTACCCTTGCTCTACCCCTTCCATTCTGGCTCTGGTCCTGCTATTTTATTCGTTACCTCCATACCATTCCATGTCCACCAAAGCCAGGGGTGGATGCGGAAAAAAATCAACCAACTCTGACATAGGGAGAGGCGCCAATGCAGGGTCAATCATCGCCCAGTCTTGAAAACAAAGGTAGTAGTCTTTTTCCCCATCTCCAACATCCTCTGCCCCCCTCACCCTTCCTTCCCACACCACCCTAGTGATCCAACCTCCCTGTTCCCCACCTAGCCAGTCTTCACAGGAGTTTCCAATGATTTGTCTGATTTCTTGTTTAGAGTGTAGAAAAGCTATTTTTTGTTTAATTTTTTCCATTGAGTAATGATATCCTCCTGTATCTGTTCCTTTATTGAGTTAATAAACTCAGTGCCGTCCTGACGAACCCCTTCCATTTCCAGAGCACACCGACTCCACCAGATACCCCAAATAAAGGCTCGGCGCCCCACCTTGAACATGTTCTCCTCAAAAGTTGTTACTTGCGGCGGGGACCATGCTTCACAGAGAAGAGCCCTCCAGTCCCATGGCCAGGGTTGTGCGGCTCCCATGCATCTCCAGATGCGATCCCACCACCTCCACAACCATTTCGCTGCCGGGCATTGCAGGAACATGTGTTCAATAGTCTTGGGCCATTTCCTAGATGGAAAGGATTCTGTGCACAGCCTGCACCAAGGAAGCGCTAGGCCTTACCATTCCAGGTGCGTTTGATCTATTAGCCAATCATTGGTCGATAGGCATTTGTGTTCCACCTGCCACTGTAGGGAGGCGAGTTTGGCTGACATAGTCTTATTAGCTTTGAACCATTTCACGGGCCGTAACAGTTCCCTCCCAATGTTAAGATGCTTCATCCAGCGGGACTCAACCACGTCCCGCAAATTGACCCTCGGTCTCAGCATCCGGTACGAGGCCTTAACCGAGAGGGTATGCAGACACCTTTCCCCAGATCTTCCCCTGCCAACTTGAAGCGTCCATACCCATTCATTTGGATCGAGGGGAAGATCCTGTTTTTGTTTAGTTGGTTTGTACACCCTCCATTGATCATTTTCCTTCAATGCACGAACGCTAAATACCCCGACCTCAGGTACCGCCTTTATCTCAAATCGGTTGACAACCATTTCCGGTTCTGATGCCTGTTCCTCTCCCGCGTCTTTTGGTGGAGTGTATACTATATTCCCAATCACCCCCTCCGTTCCCCTAAACCCCACCCAATCCCCTTCCTCCACCCGTTGACCCCTCCGCAGAATCCTTACCCAATCAAGGGGGATGGCAAAGATAACTGTTTCCAGTGCCTCTTCCACCTTGTAGCAATATCTCAACTTCTCCCTCAATTGAGTCTCCGACCGCCAGTCCTTAGAGTCTTGATCCCAAATATCCTTGACCCTCAGGATCCCGTTCTTAACCCAACCTTTCCAAGGGTTCTTACTACTGTGGAGGACCCTGCTGTTCCTGTTTGTTATCCATCGATTGCCAAACATTGGTTGTCGGACCACCTCCTCCCATTGCTTGGGTGAAACCTTATTTGGCAGGGGCAGTTTACGCCAGGTCTTTAGTATGGTGACCCAAAGGGGGTCATTTTTTAAGTCTTGTCTGGTTGCCTGTCTATCAGACTTTCCGTCCTTGTTAATCTTTGTTGGTCTGGGTATGGTCCAGTATTGATTTTCAAGCCATGTCTCTGGATCAATCCCCAGAGGGGTAGGTAGAGCCAGCCTAGTGATCTGCTGCAGTACTAAAGGTTGTCATGAAGCTTGTGTAGAGAACAACAGATCTTTCATCCATTGGAGGGCAAGGGCCATCACCTGAGTAGTGGGATCAATTATTCTCAACCCCCCTCTAGTTTTCGGTTGTATGACTGACATCCAAACCACTCTACTAATGGCTCTAGGGCACTCATGGTTCCCTCTCCACAAGAAGGTCATCACTAGTCTCTGGAGGGAAGCAACTGCAGGTTTGCTGAGGGACCAGATTGCCGACTTGTACCAGAGGGATGCCAGTACTACGTTGTTGATTACGAGGGAACGACCCAATGTTCTCGTTAATAAGAAGGGCAAGATAAACCAAGACCTTTTCTCTAACAATCTTTGGAATGTGCACATCATCGTCCAAGTGTGATGTTTTTTTTTTGTCCACCTCCACAAAATACAATTCACCTCACAACGGGAGGAGAAAAAAAAGGGGGTTTTGGGTTTCTCGAATCTTACAACCGAATATGTCAAGATTGTGAGTGAAGCGAGGGACATACCTGATGCCTGATGCGAACGAAATTGACCGAGATCTGCTCGTACTTCGGAAAGTTGTTGACGTCACCAACGACATCGTAGATAAGCTAGGTATGATCTTTCATCTATGGTCTAGGCGTTGAGCGCGAGATAGGGGGACGACATTGGTTCATTGGTGATGATGAAGAAACTATTCCAAACTTGTCATTCCTTAGCTCTGTTGTGCTTTTATTTGGTGATTCGAGTTGCAATTCTGCTTTTGGTTCGAGGTCAAGAGTATCTAGTTTCATATGTATGATGTTGTCTGACTTTTGGATTTTGCCATCGCTCATTTTCCTTGCATTATGGTATCGGAGTTGTGGTATGTATGTGCTAATCTGGCGCTTGTCTGCTGCTTAAGCGGTGCATGCACGCGGGTAGCTTGGGGAGCGACCGTGGGTAGAGTGCAATGAGGAGGGCGAAGGCCAGCAGGCGACTTAGGAGGAGACGGGTATCGCTAGGAAGACTGAAGTGGTGATAAGGGGTGTTTCGCCGTGTGATGAGAACTATATGACACACGATTGAGGCTGAGGTGGAACGGCAGTGTTATATGTTGCGCCTAAAACGAGGGTTATTTTCAGGCCCTATGTTGGCCTACATGCCCTGTGTCGTTTTCAGCCTAAAAGCCTGAAAACAAGGGCCTATAGGCCCTGTGTCGTTTCGGCTTGAAAGCTTGAAAACAAGGGCCTACAGACCCTGTATCGTTTCAGCCTAAAACAGGGTCCTCCAGGCCCCGAGTCTTTTCAGCCTGAAACGAAGGTCCATTTTCAGGCCTTCATAAGATCGACCTGCCCTAAAATTTAGGCACCAGACCAGGGTTTTAGCACATGCCATTTTGGGTCTGCTTTCAAGACAATGTTTTGTTGAGCTTCAACGCCAAGGTCTGGCACGTTTTGGCATTGGCAAGAACACTGTCAGGCTCCTGGACGGGTCAACACTCTATAAGAATGGCCCGCCCTACAGGGTGCAGGTAGTTCATAGGGACTTCCGCGTATGTGGCTAGCCTGGGTGTTCTGCACCTGCGAGCGTTGTGGCCTGCAAGGCCGCAGAGGGTGCACTTTTGCTATGTTGCCCTTTGCTTCTTGTGTTTGCCGGACTCAAGACAACTCTTGAAGCGGTGTCTGTGGAGGGCGCCCCTATTGGCATGTGGTTGCCAGTGGGAGAACAACAGACTCGTTTTCCAAGGTTTGTTTTGCTATTGCGAAAGAAGTACCGTACACAACACCATCGTATGCTGCTCGTAATGATCGAGTCATATAAAAATCATTGACGTACATTCCAATCCACTCGCGGTGATAGCAATGGCAACGTGAGTGTATGTACAATGCTTGTCCTCGAAGAAATTACGTGCGCAATACCTTTTCGTTAAAAAACTTCACCTGCCACGACTGATGGCAATTGTGCGAATCAGTGAACGTGACCTCGTACACATCTTTTGCAACCTTTGTCATGTTGTACTTTCTCGACAATTGCAATGTCGTGGCCAAGATGTCCTCGACAATCTCGGGGAACTTCCCTCACTGTGCAGGTGTCCGATCTCTCTTCTCCGTGTGCTATAACTAGACAATAGCTCGGTACTCCTCAATGAGAGAAATCGGTGACATCCCCGAACCTTCAACAACCTGTTGTTCATGGTCTCAACCACCTGCGACGTAACTATACCATATCGTGGAGAATTGAAATGAGACCCTCCCCAATGTCGTTTCTCCGCTTTCCCGAATCTTTTTTGCACAATGTTTTTATCCTTTGACAAGTGTTTAACCCGTCATATGTAGTAATAAAAATCCGGCTTGCTAGTTGCCGTCCCGCTTTGAGGAGCAAGTCGGTTTGCACGCTCGTAGTCCGCAAACTCTTCATCATGTTTCCAGTCACATGCCGAATACAATATTGACCGCGGGGACGAGTCCTTTATCGCGGTCAGACATAAACGTGACCTGCCTTTAAGGAACTTTCATAGTGTCGCATATGCGCTTGAAATGTAACGGAAACCATTTCCAACGAATCTTCTTCTCGTCGTCGAGGATTGCGTATGCGACAGGTAAACCTTGACCATTTGAATTTCTTCTTGTGGCGCCAAGAAGGCAACACAGGTACTTTCCACATATGTAAGCCTTGTCGAGCACCATCAAAGGTCTGCAGTGTACGAAGCCCGAGGCAGTGAACATGAGAAATATATAGAGGAAGATATTGTCATCGCAATCCAACTCAATTATGGACTCGTGGTTGGTATCGTGCACGACCTTGCAATAAGTGCGCAAATCGTGGTACCCCTCATCCGAGGCTTCTTTCAATGCTTCAATCACTTTCGCCCTCACTCTTACGCACTTCATGTAGCTGACAGGGGTCTTGACGAAGTATTTGAACCACTCCTTCAAAAGCTAGGGAGCATCCTCCTCCGCGTACCCTACCTCATGCCCCTCTCCATTTTAATCCTCTTCAGTTTCCTCTTCCTCGTCGTCCAACCCCTTCTTCAACCCCTGCCCCTCGTCATCCACCCTGTTGTCCTCCTCCTCCTCCTCCTTGTCACTATACTCTTCCTCTTCCTCCTCCTCCTGACCATCCTCCTTGTCCTCGTCCTCGTCCTCGTCCTCGTCCTCGTCCTCGTTCTCCTTCTCGTCCTCCTCCTCGTCCTCCTCCTCGTCCTCCTCGTCGTCCTCCTCCTCCTCCTCCTCCTCCTCCTCCTCCTGCTCCTCCTCATCCTCATCCTCCTTTTCATTCTCCTCCTTCTCCCCTTCATTGTCCACCTCTTTGTTTTCCTTGACGTGACTCTCCCCATCTTCAAGTGCACACTCCACATCCTGCGTGTCCCCCCCATTGTTTTTGCGTACTTTAGTTTCTCTCTCACACTGTTGTTCGTCAATGATGTCGTCATCCAAAACAGTTGCGCCATAAATGCCAGATTAGTGTGCTGGTCCCCGAAACGGGCACTGCCACGAACCCTTCTTAAACCGAACTGTACTAAGGTAGCATCCCCCACTTTCGATACATTCGAAGAGCGAAGACCACCCTCTGGCCTGGGTGTTCTGCACCTGTGAGCGTTGTGGCCTGCAAGACCACATAGGGTGCACTTCAGTTTTGTTCAAGAGTTCAAGTATGTTACCCTCTGCTTCTTGAGTTTGTCAGACTCATGACAACTCTTGAAGTGGTGTCCGTTTAGAGGGCGCCACTTTTGGCGCGTGGTTGCGGTGGAAGAAAAACAGACTCGTTTTCCAAGGTTTGTTTTGCTATCGCGAAAGAAGTACTGTACACAACACCGTCGTATGCTGCTCGTAATGCTCGCATCGTGTAAAAATCATCAACGTACATTCCAGTTATCTCTCAACACGTGGTGATAACAGCGGCAGCGTGAGTGCATGGACAATGTTTGTTCTTCTAGAAATGGCATGTGCACAATGTCTTTCTGTTGAGAAACTTCACTTGCCACGACTGACGACAATTGTGTGAATTTGTGGACGTGACCTCGTACACGTCTCTTGCAGTCATTTGCGTGTTACACTTTTTCGACAATTGCAATGTCATGGCCAAGATGTCATCGACAACCTCGGGGAACTTTCCCCGCTGTGCAGCTGTCTGATCTCTCGTCTCAGCCAACTGCGATGTAACGTTGCCGTACCACAGAGATTTGAAATGAGATCCTCCCCAATATCGTTTGTCTGCTTTCTTGAAACTTTTTCGCAGAATTTTTTTGTCCTTTGACAAATTTTTAACCAACCGCATGTAGTGATAAAAAATCGGCATGCTTGTAGCCCGTCCCGCTTCGAGGAGCAAGTCGGCTTGCTCGCTCGTAATCCGCAAATTCTTTATCAAGTTTCCAGTCACATGCCGGATACAATATGTATGTCGGTCATCCCCAAACGCCTTATGGACCGTGGGGACGAGTCCTTTATCGCAATCAGACATGAATGTGACCTGCTTATAAGGGACTTTCACAATGTTGCAAATGCGTATGAGTTGTAACATAAACCATTTCCAATGAATCTTCTTCTCGTCGTTGATGATTGAGTATGCGACGGGGAAACATTGACCGTTTGCATGTCTTTCAGTGGCGCCAAGAAGACAGCACTGACAGTCTGACACTTTTCGCGTATGTGAGGCCCGCTGAGCACCATGAAAGGCCTGCAGTGCGAGAAGCCTGACACTAAGGCAGCAAACGAGAACAATATACGGAGGAAGATATTGCCCTCGCATTCCAGCTCAATCATGGACCCGGGGTTGGTATTGTGCACGACCTTACAATAAGTGCGCAAATTGCGGTACCCCTCCTTTGGGGCTCCTTTCAATGCTTCAATCACGCTTGCTTTTGCCCTTAGGCACTTCATGTAGCTGACAGGGGTCTTTACAAAGTTTTTGAACCACTCATTCAAATCTGTAGCGGTCGTCTCCATCTTCTCTCTAAATTTTTTCTCCACCATCATCTCCACTCATTTGATCTTTGCGTGTTTGTTGCCGCTTTTTCTCGGGATGGGCACCCTACAACCACGACAATGTTGGATGAGGTGAACAATCTCAACACCACCGTTTCGTGCGCTGCTCTACCCATCAAGGTCCACGGACAGTCAGGATCGGCGCAAGTGACATGAAACTGTATCTTGTTTGATATCTTCCCCACGAACTCAAAACCCTCGCCACAATAACAAAACACACAACATCATGGAGGGCATCCATGAAGATATAACGACATCCCTTTTGAAAAGGCCGCACATTCCCGGTGACAGCGTACTATGTGGGAGGCGTGCTCCTCATTTGCATATCAGGGCTGACTACCTCATCGCCATATGAGAACGCCTCTCGATCCAAGGAATCGTACAATGGAACTTTGTTTCTTCTCTTCCATTTCCGCCTGCGCCCGCAGGGTCATCCCTCGTACGTCGTACGGGGTGTCTCCATACGGCCCGTGCGTACGGACGGACGGGAGTACTGGCGTACGGACGACGGCTGTACGACGGTGATTCAGGGGCAAAAAAAAAACAAAGAAAATCAAAAACAAAAAAGACGAGAAAAAAAGGAAAAAAAAAGAAACTCGTAGCAAAAAAAAAACGGGCAGTTGCTCCGCATGCGTGTGTGTGTGTGTGTGTGTGTGTTTGCAGGGGGGAGGCGACCCCCCCACTGCCAATCAATCAATCCATCAATCAATGAATCAAAAACAAAACAAAACAAAAAAGGCCGC